CCTCGACTGTGAAGGGCGGCACGGCGGGCCAAACTCCAACTGTGGAAGGGTGTGGAACCCTCGGAGGAAGAACTGTTGTCAGAGGAGGATGAGAAATACCCTGTCCCCTCTACAACAGGGGTATGATGGGTTATAGACTGTGTGATGACTCAAGGAAGGGGGGCACAATAGATCTTTAAGGTCGCAGTGATTAACCCCCCTCTTACTCATTCTACATTCTATTTCCGATTCTGAACCTCTGTAGCGCATGCGCAAATGAAATACTTTTTTTTTATGTGAATGCACTCTGTATTGGATATGATGCCGGAACGTATATTAGTATGTCTGCGACTACTGTAAATATTCCACATAATTTTCTCTTTTAATAAATATTTGCATACTTTTTTAACATGTTTTATTTACATGTTCAATATAAACAACATATCTGTTACTATTGTGGTGGTATTCCCAATTACCTGCATGTTACGTCGACAAAGATTTTTGCAGCTTTTTTTCATCAGTAAAAAAATCCATTTAAATTACTTTAAATACTTTGAAACTTTCGTATGGCATAGAACATAATATGTAAATCAAGACATGTTATTTATTTTATTCACATCACATTCAACATTTTTTTGTCAAGTACAGCTATTCCCACAAAAAACTGATATGACTTATCTGGGCAGTACTTATATTCCCAGACAACACTCAATCACTATTGTTAACTATTAATTTTCATAGTAACTGCTCCAAAAGGACTGCTCAAACTTAAAAGCATATCAGTTTTCCGTACATGCTCGAACGATTTAGAAAAAAGCACTTCCTTGACATTTAAATCTTACTAATTTGAAAACACTCCATAGGTGAATTTTACACACCTGACAAAATATATATTTTGGTTCTTTCATTGTTTTAAAGATATAATTGTATCAAGCGTACAGGATAGCAAGAAGCTTGCGATATCAAACGCTCGTAATAAAGAGGAGTTCGGCTCAACTTGTCTTACGATAGCGTACGCTCGTTACGAAAATGCTACCCGCAATCACAGCTAGGCATCCTCTGATATTCTACATTTATGCTTCATTTACAGACATCTTCCGTGACCAGTATGCGGTTGAGTGTCGTCCAGATCCTTCTGAGGAGGTTGAATCCCGGGGGCTTTTGCGTCGGATCGCTAATTATGTTTGCCGAGTCGGGGTTTGACGTATACCATTCATTCTGCCAGGCTGTAACGAATAAACGAATTATAATCATATGATAACATCATTTAAACGTATTTTTGTGATAGTTAAAAATATAAAAAAATATTAATCAATGGACAGCTATTAATAGCTGTCTATTGATTAATATTCAACTAAATTTATAATCAACTAAAATACTGAATATATAATCAACTAAAATACTGAAAAATTTAGCGATATATATCGACAATAGATAGTCTGGATATAAAAGTAATAAATTAATATAATGATTCAATAAAAGCTTAGGATAATCATCGCTGTTTCCTCTCACCGTTCCTCTTTTTCCTCAATGGAGGAGATCGAACACTCACACACACCTTCCTCGCAAGCGCGTTGGATGTCGGTCCGCTCTCTAGGCCAAGAGTTATTGTAGAGCTATCTACATCTTTTATTCTAGCATTCTACCGGTTATTCGTCATTCTAGTTCACATATAACCTGATTTAAAATGGATATAATCAGCTTGTTTTTTTCTAAAATAATAAACGAAATATTATATTTAGTATGGCAGCAAAGGATACTACTGACAATATCAACAATAATAAAATACACCTACATCCACATACACACGTGTTGTCAAACATCAAGTCAAAACAGATAGTACAATACAATGTAAAATCAAACAAAAAAATATGTACATATAAAAATTACGAGCTAAAATTTGGTGAAGTGACTGATGTGGTGGATGTCTAGGGCCTTCATCCAGTCAACCGCCTCCCGGAAGCTTCATAAACGTCAGACATTGTTTCCAGAAATTTTCACAAGGGGCATTTTGTTACAACATGAGATGTCGTTTGTTGTTGGTGCCCGCAATCACAGCTAGGCATCCTCTGCTAATCCCCATTTGTGCTTCATATACTGGCATCTTCCGTGACCAGTACGTGTGCGGTTGAGGGTCGTCCAGATGCTTCTGTGGAGGTTGAATCCCGGAGGCTTTTGCGTCGGATCGCTAATTATGTTTACCGAGTCGGGGTTTATAAATAAATAAATGCCTTTATTGTCAAAAAAGTTTACAAATTACAATTTGTAGACAAAGGTAAAGTAAACAAACAAAAGAGAATACAAAACATTATATAAATAGCATTGTCAGTCTTATTGTTTAAAATAAGCATTTATAAATGTTGACAATGTCAAAGAATAAAAAAATTAAACTAATATTCAAAAATATTTAGTTTATAGTAAATATCAATGACCTCTAGATAAATTTATTTCGATGTCATTGGTAAATAGAGTAATAGCAAACATTAGACCAGTGTTTACAAGTTCAAATTGAAACACTAAATCACCACAATACACCAAAACACTTTTACTTTTACACTGGACGCGTTTCGCTAACCATGTTAGCATCATCAGCAGATGATTATAAACTAAAGTACAATCTACAAGTTGAGCGTTTACATACTCGCTCAATAGGCACCGAGTGGGCGTGGCAAAATCTAGCCAACCGAGTCAGAGCCCACTGAGCGTAACAGTTAGATTTCCGCCACTAGAGTAGTAGGAACAAAAAACTTGAAGGAATTGGACCGTTGTCTCTGTTCATACTATCTTTACATTTATTAATTATGATGCTTTCATATGCATCTAATTGCCTGTAATTTGAGACTTGTTTAATTAATTTTAAATTATTAAGATCTATACAATGTTCTTTATCAACAATATGTTCGGCAACGCAAGATTTATCCGGTCTACCATATCTTATCTGAGCTAAATGTTCTTTAAATCTAGTTAATATTGATCTCCTAGTTTGCCCAACATATTTCTGATTACAATCTTTACAAGAAATTTCATAAATACCCGACCTTTCCAGTGGAGGTGTTTTATCCTTTGGATTACCTAATAATTGTTGCAATTTATTATTAGTACTATACACAAGTTTATAATTGACATTCTTAAAAATTCCTTTTAGACCACGGGATAACTCTCTATCAAACGGTATTGAAAAATATTTAGACGTATCTTTCTCCACTTGAAAAGTCGAATTTTCAGAAATCATTAACCTATACCTACGTTTTCTAATTAATTTATCAACTAGTGAAGGAGAATATCCATTACACTCAGCTACATTCCTAATGTAATCTCTTTCTATTTCATATGTTTCTTTGGAAATTGGGAAACTAAGTAATCTATGAACTAAGAAATTTAAACTAGCCATTTTATGTTCAACACTATGATGTGATTCATTAAGAATATATCTGCGTGTGGTGGTATTTTTCCTATAGATATCAAATTCCAGGCAATTATTAGTATTTCTAATAACTAATACATCTAGAAATGGTAATCTGTCGTTGTTCTCTGAATTTCATGCGTAAATTTAATGGAAGGAAAACGATTATTTAACTTAGAAATAAAATTATCTATGGTGTCTGAATGTGTGTCAAAAACAGCAAAAATATCATCCACATACCTAAACCATACTCTTGGAAAATACTCAAACTGATTCTTAGCCTCCACTTCAAACCTGCTCATGAATAAATTAGCCAAAAATGGAGACAATGGATTACCCATTGCTATACCTTCCCGCTGTTCAAAAAAGTTGTTATTAAATTGAAAACAATTTTGTTTCATACATAACGATGTAAGCTCAATATATTCAATCACAGTTTTGTTGTCGAGACCATTTGCGTTCAGTAATTCCTTCAAGTAGCCGTAATAACTGTAATCTTCAAATTCGATTATCAAAATATAAGTCATTGACGGCATAGAAAGCCTCCTCTAGTAAATAAGATTTCAATGCTTTGCGAAATGAAGAAAATGATGTTATGGATTTGATTTCAAATGGCAGGTGATTGTGCATTTTTTTCGAGTTGTATAAAATTGAACTTTTCACTAACTCTGAGCGTGGGGTAGGTAGATAAAGATCTTGCTCCGCGTTCCTGAGTGGATAAGTGTGAGATGGCCTATCTTGAGAAGCTGATACGTGCTTACGTATTACGCAAACGGATTCAAATATAAATAAGGAAGGAAGAATTAATATTTTTAATTTTTAAAAAAAGCCCTGGCAATGAGTTCTGCAGTTTAGTCCCAGTGAATATCGAGCAGCTCTTTTCTGGAGCCTGAAAATGCGGTCAAATTGAGTCGTACAACACGTATCCCAGAATGAAAGGGCATACCTGAGGTGCGACTCAAAAAGTGCATAATAAACAGTTCTAGCCATTGACAAGTTAAGCTCCTTTGACGTACACCATTCATTTTGCCAGACTGTGACGAATAAACGAATTATAATCATATGATAACATCATTTAAATATATCTCTGTAATGGTTGAAAACATAAAAAAAATTAATCAATAGACATATACAGGGTAAGTTTCCTACGATGTTCTCTATGGGTATCTTGGAAACTACTGGAGATAGAGAGTCGGTTAAATGGGGAAAGAATTGCAGTTTTGTGGGGTCATAAATATACGCCTTTCAGATTTATGAAAAAGTTCATGGCTTACTAGATATTTTGAAAAAAACAAATTTTGGCTATTTTAAAAATTGTTCCTAATTCCATTAAAAGCTATTTTAGACTGAAAGGCGCATATTTATGACCCCACAAAACTGCAATTCTTTCCCCATTTAACCGACTCTCTATCTCCAGTAGTTTCCGAGATACCCATAGAGAACATCGTAGGAAACTCACCCTGTATATACATATAGAATACAATACAATACAATAGACTATAGACGACAGGTAATCAACTAAAATACTGAGAAATTCAGCGATACATCGACAATAGATAGTCTGGATATAAAAGTAATAAATTAATATAATGATTCAATAAAGGCTTAGGATGCAATTATGAATTCATTCATTCACGACCCTCCTTTCACTGGAACGGTCAGCACAATCGTCGCTGTTTCCTCTCACCGTTCCTCTTTTTCCTCAATGGAGGAGATCGAACACTCACACACACCTTCCTCGCAAGCGCGTTGGATGCCGGTCCGCTCTCTAGGCCAAGAGTTCGGCTCGGAAAATTAGTTTAACTCCAGGCTTCGACCGCGCCAGAGTTCCTGCCGACCATCGTCGCGATCTCAATCCGATTCTCCCCTCCACTCAACTCCAACTCCTGCGGATACCAGAACGTAAGTTTGATGTTTATGGAATGCTCGCACGAGGAATTTATTTGTTTTGACGTTGGCACTGACCCTTTCAGACGGTTGTCGTGGTCGTTTCCACAAATGAAATCAAAGAAAATGTTATTTAGGTGGCACAGGACTTGTAAAAGTTCTGTTCTGTTGATTTACAAGTATTGTGTCACCTGCAGTTTACCTGAGTATATCGAGCAAAATAATAATAATTAACTTTTTTTAATTTTATCTGTCAATAATTTATCTTAAAATCCACTTTTATATATTTATTAGAGATCTGGTTTTGAATTTTTTTTTACATCAAGTTTTAATAGAAGGAACTACTAAAAATTTTATTCTATAATCGGATATCTTTCAATTATGTTATACTACCCATGAATATTCCGTATTATAGCTACTACTTGAATAATTCATATATTACCCCAACTTGATGTTAATTGAATTATTTCTATGTAGTAATAACTTACTGCAAATAAAAAAAAACTATTAATTACTTCTAAATTATTAGTTAGTAGTCTGATAACTGATGTCATTTTTATTACATGAAAGTTCAAATAAATCGTTATTTAGGTGACCGAAATTAGGTGTTTTATCTTATTGATTTCCAAGTACTGTCCCTGTCCAGCATAATAATAATAATAATAAAATCAAGATTAATACAGAGAAACTATTTTTTTTTCTTTCCCCATCTGTCAATAATAACAAAATCCGCTATTAATTATTTTGCTAGAAATCTGTCTGTTTTAATACATTTAATTTTTTTAAACGTGAAAGCTCAATAGAAATACTAAATATTTCATTTTGAATATTTTCGGGCATATTACATGACATGTACCGTATGATAAAAAAAAAACGGCGTTAAGGACGCCTGGGGAATGAAAATCGGTGATAATTTTGGCGAGAGATCAATTTATAGACATCATTTACTAAGTGATATAAAACTTCTCAAAAATTAACACTAATAACGTTTCCAGTCATACAAATCTATTTACAATCATTTTTGGCCGACCATACCAATAGGTATGGAAGGCAGGGTTCGGAAGTAGTTAATTAAAACGTAATTTACCTGATTAACTACGTGTAGTTTTTCTTCAAAAACTACGCCTTTTCCCGTTCGTTAACTACATGAAAAGTACGTTAATAAACTACCTATTGATATTATGAATAATTTTGCTTTATATGAGGAGTCTAAATAATATGATGCAAATGGTTATATTTAAAGCCATATTTCGTCTGTTTTCTTAAAAAATATATTATGTGTTTTCTAAAGCTTTAACTTATTATAACCTCACCTCATACCTTTGACATTTGAAAGTTACATACATATGTTACATAAACTACGCCCTCTACATAAACTACATTAACTACATGTAATGTAGTTTATGTAGTTTTTAAAAGTAACATATAGTTTTCCGAACCCTGATGGTAGACTATTAAGATCGAAAAAAAAAGTTTGTTTAATTTCACTCAAAATGAGTTATTTGGGTGATAAATGACCTAAATACAAAATATTTTCATGGTGTTTGTCTGTCTGTCCGTCTGTAACACGATAACTTAAAAACCGCTAAACCGATTTTAACCAAATTTGGCACAAACATACTGTGGCACCCGAGAATCTGACCATTAATTTTTGGTGGGGGTGGGGGGTTGGTAAGGGGGTATGGGAGGGGGTTAAAAATTAAAAAAAATCGTAATTCCAAAATTACAGTAGCTAACGAAACGCAGTTTTCAATTTAAGATAAGGAATAATATTTGCAACAAAATTTGTAATAACAACAAAATCAGTCAAAGTCGCAGTTTTTGAGATAAAAAAATTGAAAAAATTGCTTTACTTTGAAACTAAAAGAACTGCCTAACAACCTTTTATTAACATATTTTAGTATGGGCGGCTATACGTGCCTCCCGGTGCCAATTTTTTACTTTATTGATATAAAAATAAATTTTTCTCCTCAAAAATAATATAACTATTGTCATTCCACGGTCGTGTTTGACGCCGTTTTTTTTTGATCGTATGAACATTTCTTGTATTTGCCGAAAAAAGGTGTAGATAAATGACTTATTTCTGTCAATGCCTTACAGTAAAATTAAATATTAATTACTTTACTGGTATTCTAATATTTCTGAGGATTTTACCATATGTCAGCTCGAGAAATTTGATAACTAGGCGACATAGAACTTTTATTTTAGTGAATAGAAGTTTTATTTTATTGATTTCCTAGTATTGTGTCCACTGTACTTAACTGAATATTTCTTTTTTCTTGAAATTAGTTTTGCCTTTAATCTTTTTTTTTTTGCAATAATCAGGTATCTTCATTCAACAATACATAATTGGCAATATTATTTGGAGCTGCTTTGCTTACGGTTATAGCAAGAAAAGGACAGATCTTCGAGCCAATACTTTGGCATATTTTCTCTTTACCAATTTTCAAATATGTCCATAATCGAGTTATTTTGCTTTGAAAATTTCCAAAAAAAAAAAGTTTTTTCCTTAAATTTTAAGAACTACTGGATCTTTTTTGTTTTTTTTTTTCTTGTAAATTTAATCTACTACCTATGTTTCCTTATTATCAAGAAATTATGGTGTTTAACTAAAAACTAAAAAAAACACTAAAAATTCCAAATTAAAAAAAAAAAAATTTGCGAAAAAACTCTCAGACGTGTTTCTGAGATTGAAATATATTACCCCTAAAAATATTTGTAAGACTCATCTTGTACAATCGTCTCAATCCTACTTGATACATAAAACTGTTTGGTCACACTGTATATTGTGTGTCTTTTGCATCTTAATGTAACATACGACTAGAAGAGAAAAGTTTATATAAATATATAAAAAGAGTAAATACATTGTAGTCTCTTTCACTTCTCTATTTAATGACAAAGTAAACTTCCTAAAGCACCAAATTACTATTTGATGGATCAATTGTAATAAAACTTTTATTATGCCTTACTTTATCATTACGTAGCTTCTAAACAGATATGCTTTTAAACAAAGTTAATAAATACAATATGACCGAAAAAAACGTCGTCGGTGATGGCTTTGAAATGAAGATCGCTGCCATTTTATATACAGGGTGCCCAATATTCGGTAGACATAGAACTACTACGTATTTTCGGAATCAAAATAAGTTCCGTCCAATTTACCTTACAAAAGTGCTTTGTTTGTCTGCTAGAGGATATCAAACTTTAAAGAAATAAACATATTTTTTCAGATATTTTAACAACCGTTATTCCGATTTGAATGAGATTTTAGTGGCTTTGAATTGATTGATTTGCACAAAAATTAAGAAAAAGTACGGAAAAAGGGAAGAGTACCCCCACCCCTACATTAATTTTAGCATGTATATTTTCCAACTTCACCGACTCTAGTATTTTCAACATTTTTTATCTCATAAAAACACCATATCGCATAGTTTGTGAGAAAAAATTTTTGGAGGATTTATTTTTCTAACAGAGTTACAAAATATACAGCGAGTTCCAATATTCCGTTGACATAGAAGAACTACGTATTTTTTGAATCAAAATAAGTTAATTGCACATAATTTACCATTATACAAATGTGCTTCGTTTGTCCGTTAGTGGCAATCAATTAAAAATAAACCCCAACGTTAATTTGTTTTTAACATTTATTTATTATTTTTTTAAGCTTTTTATGAAGCTTATTGTCAAATATAATTTATGAACTAACGTAAAATTCTATATTATCGCCAACTAGATTATTAGAGCTTGCACTCCATAGCTTGATGTGACAAAAAAAGTATGCGCGGTGGCGTTTTTTTAGAAGAGACAAAAATGTAGTAAATACTAGAAGGATAATTTTATAAAAAAAAATCGGTTGTCGGTAGATTTGAAAAATATTTATACTAACGTTTATGTCGGGGTGTGTGTTTAGTTTTTACCCTTCCCGTACTTTTTCTTGATTTTTGTGAGAGTCAAATCTTAAGGCACTGAGCAAAACATAGATACCCAAAATCCTATTCAAATCGGAATTATGGTTCTTAAAATATCTGAAAAAATGTGCATATTTAAGTTTGGTGCTGTCTAACGAACAAACGAAGTGCTTTTGTATAGAGGTAAATTGTGTTCAATGAACTTATTTTTGATTCCAAGAATACGTAGTAGTTCTATGTCCACGGAACACTCTGGTCATTGATGGTCATTTCTAGAATGCAATCCCGCAAATGCGGGATCTGTGAGATTCCGCGGATCCCTCTGAGATTCCGCGGGATCAAAGTTGCGGGATTTATCGTGCGGGATCTGCGGGATCGACACATTACTACTGGATAACCGAATTGCCATTAAATATAAGTGAATCAAACAGGTTAGTTGTTAGATTTCTTTCTGGCGTATGTGCGTAAGTGAAGAAAAGCGTTTAACTAGTACTTGTGGACAATTTCGTCAAATAAACTGACGGACATAATTATGGGGACAAGCAAAATATTAGGGTACATTTAAAGTTGACTATCTCTAGAACTAAAAAAGATTTTGGGATGCGGTTTGGACCAGGTTTTAGAGGCATCTATTGTGATTAAGATGCTATGTGGTTTTCGAAAATATATTTAGCGAATTCTCGTATACAGGGTGTTTTATAAGAGTGTGAAAATTTGGTCTATCATCAGTCTATAAAGAATCTTTTTACCGCAAATTTACAATTTTTAAAAAATCGAAATTTTTACCAAGTACGACTAATCTGTATTGAAATTAGAAAAAAAATGGATCGGTTTTTTAATTTTTTTTTTTGTTTTAAGGAAAATACGACGTTTTTTCAAAAAATATGCATTTTTAGTCATACGTATGGTCCTAAATGGTACAAAAAGCTTTGTATATTCTGCATATGCCAAAAAATTATTGATATATAGTGTATCTAAAAGCAGATAACTAACACAAGTTAAAAAAAACTTCAACATCAGAATAATATTTTTATTTATAAAATAAGTAGATAAATTATAATAAAATTTAAATTTATTTAATATTAAATATATTTTTTGAATACCCTG